CATGCATAGCAACCAACACAACCGAAAATGCATAGCAACCAAACCAATAAAGCAAATGGTGAGTAAAGTGAATTATTAGAATCTCATTGACGAGTATTAGTCTGTACAACAAATAAGTCAAAATGTACAAATCCTAATAAAACGGTGTTCATCGAGCCACTAAAGAACGGAGGCAGAACACAAGCCCTTCCTGCTGTCTCTGCTGTTCACATAAACACATCAGGGGTCTCTGCTGTTCACATAAACACATCAGGGGTCTCTGCTGTTCACATAAACACATCAGGGGTCTCTGCTGTTCACATAAACACATCAGGGGTCTCTGCTGTTCACATAAACACATCAGGGGTCTCTGCTGTTCACATAAACACATCAGGGGTCTCTGCTGTTCACATAAACACATCAGGGGTCTCTGCTGTTCACATAAACACATCAGGGGTCTCTGCTGTTCACATAAACACATCAGGGGTCTCTGCTGTTCACATAAACACATCAGGGGTCTCTGCTGTTCACATAAACACATCAGGGGTCTCTGCTGTTCACATAAACACATCAGGGGTCTCTGCTGTTCACATAAACACATCAGGGGTCTCTGCTGTTCACATAAACACATAGGGGTCTCTGCTGTTCACATAAACACATCAGGGGTCTCTGCTGTTCACATAAACATCAGGGTCACTAAACACATCAGGGGTCTCTGCTGTTCACATAAACACATCAGGGGTCTCTGCTGTTCACATAAACACATCAGGGGTCTCTGCTGTTCACATAAACACATCAGGGGTCTCTGCTGTTCACATAAACACATCAGGGGTCTCTGCTGTTCACATAAACACATCAGGGGTCTCTGCTGTTCACATAAACACATCAGGGGTCTCTGCTGTTCACATAAACACATCAGGGGTCTCTGCTGTTCACATAAACACATCAGGGGTCTCTGCTGTTCACATAAACACATCAGGGGTCTCTGCTGTTCACATAAACACATCAGGGGTCTCTGCTGTTCACATAAACACATCAGGGGTCTCTGCTGTTCACATAAACACATCAGGGGTCTCTGCTGTTCACATAAACACATCAGGGGTCTCTGCTGTTCACATAAACACATCAGGGGTCTCTGCTGTTCACATAAACACATCAGGGGTCTCTGCTGTTCACATAAACACATCAGGGGTCTCTGCTGTTCACATAAACACATCAGGGGTCTCTGCTGTTCACATAAACACATCAGGGGTCTCTGCTGTTCACATAAACACATCAGGGGTCTCTGCTGTTCACATAAACACATCAGGGGTCTCTGCTGTTCACATAAACACATCAGGGGTCTCTGCTGTTCACATAAACACATCAGGGGTCTCTGCTGTTCACATAAACACATCAGGGGTCTCTGCTGTTCACATAAACACATCAGGGGTCTCTGCTGTTCACATAAACACATCAGGGGTCTCTGCTGTTCACATAAACACATCAGGGGTCTCTGCTGTTCACATAAACACATCAGGGGTCTCTGCTGTTCACATAAACACATCAGGGGTTCTGCTGTTCACATAAACACATCAGGGGTCTCTGCTGTTCACATAAACACATCAGGGGTCTCTGCTGTTCACAAAACACATCAGGGGTCTCTGCTGTTCACATAAACACATCAGGGGTCTCTGCTGTTCACATAAACACATCAGGGGTCTCTGCTGTTCACATAAACACATCAGGGGTCTCTGCTGTTCACATAAACACATCAGGGGTCTCTGCTGTTCACATAAACACATCAGGGTCTGCTGTTCACATAAACACATCAGGGGTCTCTGCTGTTCACATAAACACATCAGGGGTCTCTGCTGTTCACATAAACACATCAGGGGTCTCTGCTGTTCACATAAACACATCAGGGGTCTCTGCTGTTCACATAAACACATCAGGGGTCTCTGCTGTTCACATAAACACATCAGGGGTCTCTGCTGTTCACATAAACACATCAGGGGTCTCTGCTGTTCACATAAACACATCAGGGGTCTCTGCTGTTCACATAAACACATCAGGGGTCTCTGCTGTTCACATAAACACATCAGGGGTCTCTGCTGTTCACATAAACACATCAGGGGTCTCTGCTGTTCACATAAACACATCAGGGGTCTCTGCTGTTCACATAAACACATCAGGGGTGTCTGCTGTTCACATAAACACACCAGGGGTGTCTGCTGTTCACATAAACACATCAGGGGTCTCTGCTGTTCACATAAACACATCAGGGGTCTCTGCTGTTCACATAAACACATCAGGGGTCTCTGCTGTTCACATAAACACATCAGGGGTCTCTGCTGTTCACATAAACACATCAGGGGTCTCTGCTGTTCACATAAACACATCAGGGGTCTCTGCTGTTCACATAAACACATCAGGGGTCTCTGCTGTTCACATAAACACATCAGGGGTGTCTGCTGTTCACATAAACACATCAGGGGTCTCTGCTGTTCACATAAACACATCAGGGGTCTCTGCTGTTCACATAAACACATCAGGGGTCTCTGCTGTTCACATAAACACATCAGGGGTCTCTGCTGTTCACATAAACACATCAGGGGTCTCTGCTGTTCACATAAACACATCAGGGGTCTCTGCTGTTCACATAAACACATCAGGGGTCTCTGCTGTTCACATAAACACATCAGGGGTCTCTGCTGTTCACATAAACACATCAGGCAGCAGGACTGGAGCTTTGGAGATCTGCAGAAAAGAGTAATTGTTTATTTTTATTACACGGCTCCTCACAGCAGCAGGAGAATTCTCCATTGATTTGAATGTAATTTCAAAACGTTCTACCGGTCATTATTTTCTATAACGGACCTCTCAAAACAATAATGACCGCTGCCCTTTGGCAACGCACTCTCTGCTTGTCTTTCAGATGTGTGGATAACTCCGCAAGTAGTTCCGGCCACTCCGGAGCTAGCCACGCTCAATCAACACACTTAAATGTTAATCGGAGAATACTTATACATATACATTCTTCACACACGTGCACGGAGGATTTCAGAATTTTCTGGTCTTGTCTTCATGACAAAAATACTATTTCTCTGCGTCAAAAAGCGATCGTGAAAAACCCGGAAGTAGTTCTGGCCGCTCAATAAACGCAAATGCCAATCAATCAACGCAATGAAATGTTAATCGGAGAGTAATTTATACATATCCAGTCTTAATACAAGTGCACGGAAGTTTTCAGAATTTTCCGTTTACGTTTTCATGACAAAAACACTGATGTAATGCGAGAAAAGGCGATTCCGAAAAACCCGGAAGTAGATACCGGCACATTTTAAGATACCGGCACATTTTCGGACACCTTTTCAGAGGATCGAATTATGGATTTAGGTTAGGTTTATGTTTGGGTCACTCACCGCTGTTGTTCAGGATTCTTTGTTCAGTTTTCATGCAGTTCCAGAGAGTTCTAGTTTGGAAGTTGCTAGCCTAACTGTTGCTAGCATAGCCACGGGAAAGCCTTTGGGAACTATTTTATTTTCTGTCATTAAATAAACCTTTCGGCATTCCTAAAAGTGGACTGAAGTTTATGTTGTGTGTTCTGTTGGTATAAAGCCGTATAATAAGCGGGATAACGTATATTACGCAGGTCATTATCGGAAAATAAGTACCTTCAGGGCGAAGGTACGTTATCCCTTACTTAAAGCTGCACTAACTGACTTTGGGATTTTGAAGCCGTGGACTCGCTGGCCTCTCTCTTTCTGCTCCCCTCCCCGCACCCACGAAGCTATCGCCCCCCACACACACTCACTGTTGTTGACGGAGCTAGCGTCTCCCAATATGGATAAAACATGGATATGGATTTACACGTGGATGCCGTGACCATAGAACGATAGAACCAGGAAGCGCAGAGGAACGAGACTTTCTTTTGGCTGTCTCGCTGTGTAAGCAGTAACCGGTGACGAAGACGAGGAAGCTTCAGGTTAGCTCCTCGGCTTGTTGTGCTAACTTAGCCGTCTATGCTAACAGGGACCTGTAGATTTCTCACGAAAGTGGGGGCCAGTGGTCCGCTGTGATTGGTCACAATCTGCGACCCGAAACACATTCTCTTCCTTGTTTCATCAAAACTCGATCTAAAATATAATGTCACGCCAGCACAAATCTGCACTACTTTTTCTTCAAAAGGACGTTTATCCCAATGCCCTACACGGACATGGACAGCATTTTAGTAATTAATACAAAAATAAAGTCAGTTAGTGCAGCTTTAATGATGTTCTCAGCTGTGGAAGTGTTGAGTTCGTACCTAAAGCCTTTACTCACTCCGGACGAGCAGTCAATAATATGCATCTGTTGGATTTAAAGTAGAGAAGTAATCTGGGCCTGAAGATCCTGCACTCTCTAATCTCTTGATCCACTTTAGTTTCAGCAGAATCACGTCTGCATCAGCTCAGGAACAATGTTGTTGAACTGTTGTAGTGTTATGTTTTCACACAGTTGTCATTATTGTATTGTGTGTCATATCGTGTGTTTACCACTGAGTCCTGATCACCGTGGTTCTGTTGCTGCTTCTCTGTGATCTGAGCGGGTCCAGCTGAAAGCAGCAGTTTGGATCAGAACAGACACAGTCACAGAGTCACAAAAGCTGGAGCTGTTTCCGCTTTTGACCGAGAGCTACTCTGATGCATTTCCTCTTCCCTTTTTCTATTCCTTATCCACAGCTTGATACTACTTTAACCTAGATCATTGATCATTTTAATGTTTTATTTTCTTAGATGAAGCCTAGTTTTACATTGTTTACCTTATTACATGTTGAAGTGTGTTACTGTAAAGAATATTTGTTGTTTCTGAATACATTATATAAAGTGTGTGAAACTGTGACCTCCTGGAGCTTTGTGCACATGGAGCTGGTCCAGGAGATTGACTTATCTGTGTCTTAATTATGGAAGTTTCATCTGTTTTGTTTAGAGGAGTCTTTCACTCATGTAAATGTAAATTGCGTGACATTTAAAGTAACCTTTGTTGTCTTGTTGTTTTAGGCGCAGAAAAAGGATGTGTTTGTTCAAGAGCGTTACGGACGCTACGACCTGAGCGACCCATTCCTGGCCCTGCAGCGGGACAGCGAGGCGGTGGGGGGGCAGGAGGGGCAGGAGGGGCAGAAGGAGCAGGTCTCCAGCCCCCTGGTGCTGCTCAGGCTGGTGGTCAGTCACTGCCGGAGGGTCCAGGAGAAGATGCTGGCGCAGCTGGCAGCGGCAGAGAGCCGGCACAGGAGGGTGTGTATGAACACTTGGTTTGATAAAGAGAATATGAAAACCAATTCTATCATCAAGTCTTAAGTGTGCAGCACGGGGGCATTTGCATGTTCTCCCCGTGTCTGCAGAGGTTTCTTCTTAGTGCTCCGGTTTCCCCTACCACTACAAACATGAACGATAGGAGAGGGTTAAATGTGACTCTCCTGCGGTTCATTAAAACACACTGTTCCATCCAAATAGACAAAGTTTCTATATCCGAGTGTTGTCACAGAGTTCACTTATCTTTTTTGTGTAACTTTAACTGAAATGGGAGCAGGCTATTTGCATCAGGGAATAAAAGCACTCTCAGTAAAGCCTTTACATGACATTCATCTGTATTTACAACTAAACTGTTTTTCAGAACGAAATAAATTTAATCATAAGCATCAATTGTTTGCTTTTTGTGTTATATTTGTTTCTGCAATTACCTTTGTGTACTTTCTTAAGTAGCTCCCTGTCTCCCCCCTGTGTCCGTCACAGGTCATTGCAGATCTGGAGGAGGAGAAGAGGAGGCACGCAGAGGACACGGCAGAAGGAGACGATGTGACCTACATTTTAGAAAAGGAAAGGGAGCGGTTACAGCAACAGGTAATAACTATTTCACTGACATAATCTTTCATATTATTCCTGAACACTCACTTTGTCCTCATGTTTAAACATACCAACAATAATCTTTTATGATATAAGATAAGATAAGATAAATATTGATCTCACACTGGAGAAATGTCACATCTGGCATGGATCGAATCACTCAAGGTTGTGCAAAAAACAAAGATGTCTGCAAACATGTTAAAGTTGAAAAATATAGTCTGTGGCGGATACATAATGTACAATAAAAAGTGTCAATTAAAGAAACAGTGTCGATAGTAGTGCAGGTTTTTAGTCCTAGTGCAAGTGACTTAAAGTGACTTATTGTACAGTCTGACAGTGGTGGGGGTAAAGGCCCTGCTCCTTCTTCCACTGGAGGAGCTCCTCTACAGCCCTGTGCAGTGGGAGGTGTTGTTATTATTATAGAAATTGAACACAAATATTAGTAGTAGTATAAAAGTAGATTATAATGTATTCTGTATATACAGTTAATAGACAGTTCAATGTGCACATTTATCATTAAAACATTTTCTTTTTGAGCAGGAAACTATTCAGTTCTATTTTTTTTTTTGTAAAACCCTAAATCACAACAGCAGGTTGTGGATTCACCAAGAACAGATCAGAAAACACCTGAAAAACAATAATAACAAACACAGGTCTTCAGATCATCACGGCCCTTAGACCCTCCTGCTTCACAAAGTGTTTTCACTAAATTTCCAATCTAAACTGTTAAAAATACCCTCGGATTCAGATGACTTTATTTATCCCACCACGAGCTATTTGTTTGAGCAGCATTTAAACATTTAAAAAACAATAAAAACACAGGTAATGTCAGAGTATAATAAGTAATATGATATTGGAGTCCATACAAACATAAACACAAAACAACGATAAAAGCTCAAACACCAAAGTCCAACAATCAGCACCAGCGACAGAGACACAAAAACACACGATTGTAAAGTGCTCTGACTCTGGTACTGTATCAATAAAGACTACTTATTACTTACTTCAAATATTTACTTTGCGTAGTGGCCTCAAATGACTTCAGGAGCTCAAGCATTTTAGAGAAGACTACACTGCAAAAAATTATAAAATTTGAGGTAATAATTGCTTGAATCACTAATTCCAGGTATCACTAATTCCAGTATGAAAAATGTAGTGTAAAACAATATATATTTAACTCCAATAAATAATTATATATGTTGTTTACACACAAAAAACACATTCATAGTGATTTTGAGCATATTTCGACTGTATTGTGGGACATGTTTACGTGACTTATCTGTCTGGCTCACATTGTCACAGTCGTGCTCGTGTGTCCTGCAGCTGGAGTTTGAGCGTTGCCAGGTGCGACGGCTGGAGAAGGAGCAGCGGCGCCTCACCGAGCTTCTGGAGGAGGAGCGCACGCAGCACAAGCAGCTCTCCTGCGCACTGGCCAAAGAGTGCAAGTGGGCCAGCGCCAGGGCTCTGGAGGAGGGCCACAGACTGTCCGAGACCGGCCGCAAGCTCGACAAAGTAAGATTAGGTTTAGGATTAAGAGATTCTTTATTTGTGCCACAGTGGGGAACAGGGGAACTTTCACTATTGCATCACAGGCTTACAGCACAGTGGGAATGAGCAGCAAAAAACAGAAGATGAGTGAAGGGTATGGTCGCCACTAGATCATATACAGAATCGGGACGAAACCGGAAGTAACAATCCTATTTTCGAATTGGTTTTAGACTAATAAGTCCTTCAGTGGTGACTGGTTAAGTTTTAGGTGTCTGAGTAAGATGGTTAAGGCTAGGGTTAAGGTGGTCTGAGTAAGATGGTTATGGTTAAGGTTAGGGTTAAGGTGGTCTGAGTAAGATGGTTATGGTTAAGGTTAGGGTTAAGGTGGTCTGAGTAAGATGGTTAAGGTTAGGGTTAAGGTGGTCTGAGTAAGATGGTTAAGGTTAGGGTTAAGGTGGTCTGAGTAAGATGGTTAAGGTAAGGGTTAAGGTGGTCTGAGTAAGATGGTTAAGGTTAGGGTTAAGGTGGTCTGAGTAAGATGGTTAAGGTTAGGGTTAAGGTGGTCTGAGTAAGATGGTTAAGGTTAGGGTTAAGGTGGTCTGAGTAAGATGGTTAACGTTAGGGTTAAGGTGGTCTGAGTAAGATGGTTAAGGTTAGGGTTAAGGTGGTCTGAGTAAGATGGTTAAGGTTAGTGTTAAGGTGGTCTGAGTAAGATGGTTAAGGTTAGGGTTAAGGTGGTCTGAGTAAGATGGTTAAGGTTAGGGTTAAGGTGGTCTGAGTAAGATGGTTAAGGTTAGGGTTAAGGCTGGGTCTGAGTAAGATGGTTAATGTTAGGGTTAAGGTGGTCTGAGTGAGATGGTTAAGGTTAGGGTTAAGGTGGTCTGAGTAAGATGGTTAATGTTAGGGTTAAGGTGGGTCTGAGTAAGATGGTTAAGGTTAGGGTTAAGGTGGTCTGAGTAAGATGGTTAAGGTTAGGGTTAAGGTGGGTCTGAGTAAGATGGTTAAGGTTAGTGTTAAGGTGGTCTGAGTAAGATGGATAAGGTTAGGGTTAAGGTGGTCTGAGTAAGATGGTTAAGGTTAGGGTTAAGGTGGTCTGAGTAAGATGGTTAAGGTTAGGGTTAAGGTGGTCTGAGTAAGATGGTTAAGGTTAGGGTTAAGGTGGGTCTGAGTAAGATGGTTAAGGTTAGGGTTAAGGTGGGTCTGAGTAAGATGGTTAAGGTTAGGGTTAAGGTGGTCTGAGTAAGATGGTTAAGGTTAGGGTTAAGGTGGTCTGAGTAAGATGGTTAAGGTTAGTGTTAAGGTGGTCTGAGTAAGATGGTTAAGGTTAGTGTTAAGGTGGTCTGAGTGAGATGGTTAAGGTTAGGGTTAAGGCGGTCTGAGTAAGATGGTTAAGGTTAGGGTTAAGGTGGGTCTGAGTAAGATGGTTAAGGTTAGTGTTAAGGTGGTCTGAGTGAGATGGTTAAGGTTAGGGTTAAGGCTGGGTTGGGGTTATTTTATGGGAATGGCTGGTTAAGTTTAGGCATAAATAGGTAGTTGTTATATTTACTTCCGCTTCCGTCCCGATTCCGTATATGATCTAGTGCTGACCTGAATAGTATAGAACGATAGCCTGGTCTTACCACACCATCGTACTCGTCTGGATTTGCTCCATTGACTCCGTTAACAGGTGGGAGGGGTTAACTCCTTTTGCAGATTGAAACGATTGGATCTGAGTTTACCGTGACGTATGTAATGAGCCCGAGTGAGTGAGGCATTTAGCATCTAGCCTAGCTTTAGCGATGTCCTTTGCCGCTAACGGAGCCCGTGGGGAGTAGAGCCACAACATCTTCACTTCAATGACATTTACTAAACATTCCTCTTGCTCCGGCTTCATTTTCTTGATATTTGGCTTGAACCAGAACATATTATTTTACCATCGCATTCTCAGACAAACTAAAATCAACAAATTCAGCGCAAACTCTTAACGTCACAGACACCGACCTACAACACCCGCCTCCCCCGCTCTCTGATTGGTCGGAGGGGATTCAACCGAGGAAACTGCAGCCAATAGGACCAGACCCAGACGTACATGTAGGAAATGATCATGGACCAGAGTTTACACATGGTAAGACCAGACGTACATGTAGGAGATGATCATGGTCCAGAGTTTACACATGGTAAGACCAGACGTACATGTAGGAAATGATCATGGACCAGAGTTTACACATGGTAAGACCAGACGTACATGTAGGAGATGATCATGGTCCAGAGTTTACACATGGTAAGACCAGACGTACATGTAGGAAATGATCATGGACCAGAGTTTACACATGGTAAGACCAGACGTACATGTAGGAGATGATCATGGTCCAGAGTTTACACATGGTAAGACCAGACGTACATGTAGGAAATGATCATGGACCAGAGTTTACACGTGGTAAGACCAGACGTACATGTAGGAAATGATCATGGACCAGAGTTTACACATGGTAAGACCAGAACGTACATGTAGGAAATGATCATGGACCAGAGTTTACACATGGTAAGACCAGACGTACATGTAGGAGATGATCATGGACCAGAGTTTACACATGGTAAGACCAGACGTACATGTAGGAAATGATCATGGACCAGAGTTTACACGTGGTAAGACCAGACGTACATGTAGGAAATGATCATGGACCAGAGTTTACACATGGTAAGACCAGACGTACATGTAGGAAATGATCATGGACCAGAGTTTACACGTGGTAAGACCAGACGTACATGTAGGATATGATCATGGACCAGAGTTTACACATGGTAAGACCAGACGTACATGTAGGAGATGATCATGGACCAGAGTTTACACATGGTTAAATCCAGGTTAACTCATAAAAAACAGTATAAAATCTCTATCTTAGCATAATCAGGAAAGGTTTTCTACACAGTGACATTCCTTGTGTTCCAGGAGCGCGAGTCTTGCCACGCTCTGAAGACGGAGCTGTCGGAGGAGCGCAGGAGGGCTCTGAGGATGGAGGCTCGGCTGGAGGAGCAGCTGGCCGAGTTTGACACGGAGCGGGAGCAGCTCCGGTCACGGCTCAAGAAAGAGGAGGCTCAGTGCTGCCAGCTCCAACTGCAGGTCAGAACCACAGAGGCACAGAATACACTCAAGTCCAACCATAGACTGTAAATATTAACTGTAGTAGTCACGCCTATCTTAAACTATTTTCACTTCAACAGCTGAACAGTAGAATAGTGTGTGCAAATCTAGTGGTTTAGTTTGGATAAGTGCTTGATAGATAATGAGATTAAGATGACTATTAATGTTTTATCATTAGTCATAGTAAATTATGTTCTTATATATGTACTGTTACGACCCGGCTCAGCTTGTGTGTATGGATATAACAAAACCCTAACCAATTTATATGAATGGTAAATGGTCATCATGTACAACCACATCCGCTCGGATACAAACGGATGTGGTCGTTGAGCAGCTGACTCCATGTTATGTCTGAGTTAGTTTTCATCAATGAAATGGTCAATGAATTTTTTTTATAGAAACTTCTGAACAACTATAGGATTAAACTACTCTATATATTGTAATATACAGTGGAGTTAATCTGTATATAGAAATATACATATAAGTTATAAACCTTTGAGCATGATGTTCTTAGCATCAATATTTGTAACATATATTTTGGCTTTTGATCAAGGCTGTGAGTTGAATGTCTTACATGTGTTTTAACAGATGTTCAAATATATAAATAAATAAATAAATAATCAGCGAAGGGGTAATAATCACTTTTTTTACACATGCAAAGCCTTAAAAAATATATATATTATAATATATATATATATCCCTCGACGAACCATCACAGTCAGTGGTTTGGCAACAAAAATAATTAGAAATGCCATGGTATCGATACCATGAGAAAGGGCTTGTTGACAGTGTGATGATGTTCTTTATGTAATTCGTCTGGGTTCACAAAAAAGGCTATAGTTTATATTTTAGCCACAATTGAATTTCTGAAAACCTTCTATCAAAGGTTCTTTCACTCAGAATTATTTTGTATTTGACACAAACATCTGCACAGTTAAGAAATAAAGGGAAACTTTATCTTTCAACATCATAACTAACCTACTGTGGGAAGGTAAAACTGTCCTACTCTCATCCCTATCGCGCAGGATTCTTAAACAAAATTAAAATTAAAATCTGATTATGTTTCTGTTTCAGGTGGAGGAGCTTCAGAGAAAGTTGGAGGAAGTGAGCAGCTCGTCTGATTCCACAAAAGCAGCGGAGGACGAGGTGCAGGAGTGGGCCTCCCCGGTCCCTTCTTCTCATGCGCTCAACACGACGGTGGAAGATCTGGAGCAGGACCACACCCCCCTCTCTCCAAGTGTGAAGGTCAACGGTCATCACGGCGCCACAGAGACCTACGCGCTGCATGGACCTGCCATCGACAGAGCTGTCTTACACACGGACCCTCAGACCATCCTCCTACCTCCCCTCTCCCCGTGCGCCTCTCCAAACCTCAGCCGACACCCGTCCTCCTATCAGTCTCCATACCAGGCCGGGATTCACCAACGCTTCCACGCCGCTCGCCACAAATTCCAAGGGACACCCGACGGCGAAGCTCCCGTCTCCACCGCAGCGACGAAGGAGCCCGTGTCCACTGCTTCTGCCCCTGAATCCAGCCCCGTGAAGCAGCTAGCCCGCAGCACCGTGACGCAAGTCCTGTCTCGTTTTACCAGCGCGCAGCCGAAACTGCCGGCGCCCAACCCCTCGCCTTTTGGGACAGATTACCGACACCTGGCCACGCCCTTGTCTCCGGTGATTGGAAGAGCTACTGCCGCATCGCCACAGGTGGTACGGTCCCCGACTATCCCCAGGGCAGAGAGGGGCACCCCGCCGCCCATACCGCCAAAGAAGCCTGGACTGGCACAGGCCCCGTCCTCGCCCGCCACGATGGCCAAGTCCACGAGGCATTTGTCCGAGAGCCCGGTTTCAGGAAGCTGTGGGACCGTTTCAAGTCCAGACGGGGGCAAAGAGCTGGATATGGTTGTGTCCAGTTAAGATTTCAAACAAACAAAAAAACAACTGAAGACTTTGATTTGAAAAGATGCTGCTCTGCTTTTAACATTTCATTTAAAAATGTGTCCTGCTCCGACCAAAACAAGAATGTATAACTAAGAACTCCAGATTCTACTTCGAATTCCAGATTCTACTTTTTTTTTTTTTTTATATTAACCATGATGAATTAATTCTGGTCTGGACTTAGCCATGTGGTCCAGTATCATTCCTACATGTATGTCTGGGTCTGATCGTAATGTTTAGCAAATGTCATTTCTGCAAAGATGTTGTAGCTCTACTCCCCACGGGCTCCGTTAGTGGCAAAGGAGGTGCTAAAGCTAGGCTAAATGCTAAATGCCTCACTCACTCGGGCACATTACAAATGTCACAGTAAACTCAGATTCAATGGTTTCAATCTGCAAAAGGAGTTAACCCCTCCCACCTGTTAACGGAGTCAATGGAGCCAATCCAGACCTTAGTATGAAATGAAATGAGTACTATGGTGCGGTAAGACCAGGCTTGATTAATTCACTTGTAGATTATTTTGTATGTTAGTCTTCTGCACCATTCCATAACAGAGTTGATAAATGCTTGAATTATGCGGTATTCATCTTTATTATTAGGAAAGAT